ATGCCGAATGCGAGCCTGCGGTCCTAGTGGCGGCCCCTCCTCCGCTGCGCCCAGGGGTCTACGCAGGCTCCCATTTCGGCCGCGCAGCCGCGAGCTCGCAGTCAGGCGGTCGCGCCCATGGACGACGGCGCCCCCATGACCAGAGCAGCGGTCGTGGCCGAGATGCGCGCGACGATGGCGGCCCAGGCGGCCCTTCCGCACCAGGCCCCCGCGCTGCCACTGGCGCCCCCCCCCAGGAGTCCCAAGTGCTTCGTCGCGACGCCCCCCAGCTGTTCGAGGACGAGGCCGCCCATCTTGGGATCCCGCTGCACGACATGCAAAGCTTCGCGACACGGGCTCCTCCCGCCCCGCGTCGGACGCAAACCAAGACGAGCACTCCCGCCTCCGCGCCAGCGGCAGCACGGGGAGCCCCACGGTCCGCGAGCGCGTCGGTCCCCGGCGCGCTGTGGCGAGGGGTGTCCTGGCCGATACTATCGCGGATCGCAACTGCGCGCGTCGGCCCCAGGGGGCCGCCAGTCGGGGAGCGCGCGCAGAGCCGCGGACGGCCCCAGCCCAGATCGCCCGCGACGCCCGCCGAGTGAGGAGGGCTGTGTTGCACAACGCGGAGGTGGCGCACCCCGCTGGCCTGGCTCGTCCAGCGCGCGCGGCCGGCGACGCCGCCTCGTCTGCGGGGCGATCTCTCGTTGAGCTGGAGGCCGAATTCCAGGCCGTCCGCCGATCCGCCCACCCGACGGCCCGACGATCTTGCCAGCGCCATGTCGCGCAGCGATCGACGGGCCGCCCACCGACGGCTTGGCCCCCGCGACGAGGCCGTCGAGGACCAGCCGAACCTGGGAGGCCATGCCCCAGGGTCGGCCAACGCCTCTGGGGCCCGCCTCCAGCAGCGCGCGCCGCCATGCGCCAGGCGAGTCGCGCGGCTCTCCCCGCCCCTGAAGGGGGGGCCGCGCCCTTGCCGGGGCGCCGCGCTCGGCGGGCTGCGAACCGTCGCGCCGCGGCGGAGCGCGCTGCCCCGCGGCCCCGCAGTCGCCCCCCCGCGCAGGCGCCAAGCGGGAACGGGGACCTGACTTCTCCCCGAATGTCCCCGAACCCCTACGGCCGCGATTCAAGCGGAGGGTCGCCGGCAGTCGCTGGCGCCCGACGCCTCCTCGCGGCAGGTCGCGACGCGCCTCGCCAGCCCCCGGCGCGTGGTGCCCGACGACTCCCCCGCGGCGCGAGCGCGCCGTGTCTGCTCCGCCCCTGGCTCCCGAATCGGACTTCGACTCCGAGGACCCCGCTCAGGTCCGCGGCTTCCTGGCGGCTCGGATCTCGGAAGAAGCCTTGCGCGGGGTCGCCCGAGCTGCTCAGCGGGCCGGGGCGGCCGAGCAGGCCGCGACTGCTGAGGCTGCTTCTCGCGAGCGGACCCCTCGGTCTCCAGGCGCCAGCTCTTGGGTGGAGCATCTTCGGGGTGAGGCTCGCAGCGCTAGGCAGATTGGCGCCGCGGGTGTCCCGCGCGGCCGATCGAGAGGCGCCTCGAGCGCTGGGGCGGCTGGCACGCGCCCGCCCAACGAGGGCGCTTCGCCGCCGCAGGGGAGGGTTCGCGCCGTCGCTGCTCAGCCAATCGGCGCGCCTCTTGCAGGCCCCGCGGAGCAGGACGATGCAGCAGGCGTCCCGCACAGCCGTGCACGAGGCATCTCGAGCGCTGCCCCGGCTGGCATGCGCCCCTCCAGCGAGGGCGTTACGCCGCCGCATGAGAGGGTTCGTGCCGTCGCTGCTCAGCCAACCGGCGTACAACCTGCTGGCCGCGCGGACCCCCGCCTAAGCGCCGCCGGCGTGCCGCTCTCGTGCCGACGTCGAAGGTTCTGTCGGATGCTTCCCCTGCGGGCGTTTCCGCTTTGCCCCGCATGCTGGCGCCTTCGCCCACTGGCCGAGACGATTCGCAACAACCGATCGCCCTTCCAGCTGCCGCGGCTGCGGCGCTCGGCGGGCGGCTGGAAGTGGCGGGCGAGTTGGCCGCCGTCGCGCAGTACTCCGAGGATCGCACGAGATTTGTTTCAGCACGCTGCCCCCTGGCTGCGGCACTTCGCGCCAGCACGAGATCGACGATCTCAAAAACCTGCTCGCCGTGCTTCGTCAGCGGCTCTTCGGCGATGGAGGTGTGGCGCCTGCCCGGAAGCCGGGTGGCTGCCACCCCTGAATGCCGCGGTTCCCCCGGGCAGCTACCACTGAATGCCGCGGTTCTCCGGGGCTGACTGGCACCTTCAGATCGACGAAACAGCGGTCGGAGAGATCAGGGGCACCGACTGGGGCAACAACGTCGCGCAGCGGCGTCGCGTTGCCAGCCTGGCCTGCGCCCAAGACCTGTTTGCGCACCTCTCCGAGGACGTCGAGCTGCTCCCGCCACGCCCGTGGCCGAACAAAGAGGCGCCTGCGGAGCTGCTCGACGGGTATCGAGCCATCTGCAGCGCGCCCCACCCGACGTCCTTGTCGGGCATGTCGCAACGGCAGGACGCGGCCGAGCTGGGGGCGAAGCTGCGCGCCCGCGATCGCAAGGCGCACCCTGCTGGTCCGCCTGCCCCCTTCCCCTGGGCCGACATCGAGACCCGGCCCCTCTCCGCGCCCTCGGAGGTCGAGGCGATCGCACGGGGCGTCGCGGACGCGACGGACGACTCCTTCGCAGAGGCGCGCGCTGAGACCGCGATCCGCTCAGGGGTCGACGAGGAGAGGCTGCCGCCGCACTTCGCGTCAACGGCGGGCTTCCCTCTCGACGGGCCACGTGGTCCTGCGGAGCAGCAGAGGCCCCGCGCCCGCCCTGCTGCTGCGGTGCGCGCGCGGGCTGTGCGTGCACGTCGCCGCTGTGGGCCCTTCTGCCCCAGCAGCCGGCACCGCGCCGCCTGGCCGCGGGCGTAGCACCGCGCGGCCCCGCGCCTCTCGCACGCCTTTCGTTCGGGATTCCCAGTTGACTCCCGAGTGCCGCGATCGCACAATCGGTTGAAGCGTTCGAGCTGTGGGTCGTCGAGCACGCCAGGGTGGCTCCGACCACGCTCTACCGAAGTGGAGCGCCCCTGGCGCGAGCACTAGCCACCTTCGGAGTCTGGCTGCACGACGCTGGCTTCCCCCATTATATCCTTGCGCATGCCTTGCTGAGCGCCCAGTCAGCGCGCCCCCAGTGGAAGGCGTTCCCCACCGAAGCTTGGGACGTAGCTAAGCAGTGGAAGATCGCAGAGCCCCCCAGGCTTCGCCCACCGTTGCTTCGCGCCCGTCTGCGCGCAATGGTTGGCCTCTGCCTCATCTCGGACTGCCCAGACATTGCCGCCCTGCTGCTCCTCGGCTTCATTATCTTCCTGCGTCCGGGGGAACTCGCGAAAACGAGGCGGCGCGACCTTTCCTTGCCGTCAGACCGTCTCGAGGCGACGTGCGATTTCTTCTCTGGCCACCGCAGCGCCTAAGACCCGTCGCTCCTACCCCGCTCAGCATGCGAGGTGTTCGGATCGTCGGCCGGTGGGCCTGGTTGAAAGCATGTTTGGACATCTCGCCCCCGCCGATCCGCTCGCCCCTTTTCGGGGCCAGCGGTTTCCGTACCCGGTGGAACCATTTGCTTTCGGCCTGGGGCGCCCAGCTCGCCACGGCCGCCGCTGGACTGAACTTGACTCCTGGCTGCCTTCGAGGGCCAGGTGCCACTGGCTTTCAATTTGCTACCGAAGACGTCCCTCGCGTCTTCTGGCGGGGCAGGTGGCGCCGAGCGTCGTGTGCTGAGCGCCACCTTCAAGCTGCTGCTGCTCCAACAGTCCCTGCGTCTCTTTCCGAGGCCGCCAGGACTCAGGTCATGTTCTTCGCCTCTGGCAGCAGTCGCTCGCTTGCTTCCTACCTGCTTTGGGGGTCTTCAGCCTGGTCAGTCCAGCTCGCGGCCGCACGGCAAAACCTTGCCACTTCGCAAGGGCGTCGGACATGGGCATGGCTGCACAGCCCCTTTGGCGGCCAGGAAAGCTTCTCCTGAGCGCGGCGCGTCGGCGCCCTCGCGCACGGCAGCAGGTCTGCCCCGCCGCCTCGCGCGGGAGCGTCGGCGCGTGCACGCGGAGACCGCTCGCCAGGGCGGAGTGAGAGAATGTTCTTCATATTCTCTGCGACTCCCCCTCCGCGGTCTCTGCAGTGTTTCGGCCCCCTCCTCACCCTCCCGGCCTCGCTGAGGCTGAAGGCGCACGCGCTGCGAGGCTGCCTTCTCCGCCTCGGAGGGACTGAGCCGTTCTGTTCCCCCAGGCCTGCATGGCTGCATCGCCCTTCGGGCGGCCAGGAGAGCTCCTCCTGAGCGCGTCGCGTTGGCGCCCTCGCGCACGGCGGCAGGTCTGCCCCGCCGCCGCGCGCTGGAGCGCCGGCGCGCGCGCGGAGACTGCTGGCCAGGGCGGAGCGAGAGAATCCTTCTCCTCCCCCTCCTCCTCCTCATCCCCCATCCTCCTCCTTCCCCTAGCTGGATCGGTCTCCAAGCAAGGTGTTATCAGAGGGACTTTTGTGGGATCACTGGGATCAGGAAGGGCTTTAGTTTTTGTTGGCCATTCCTTTGATCTGGGTCGGGACCTCTATATGTTGCCGAGGCTGGCATGGCCAGAAAAGCCCCTGTCGTTCCTCATTGCTCGCTCCTTGTGGTCGCACGGTGACTGTACGGCCCCTGGACCCGCCTCGATCGGTCCGCGGGCCATGGCCCTGGGTGGTGGTACCATCGGGCTTGTTGTCGTTTGGTGGGCACTACTGGGCCCCACCCAACGGATCTGCTCAATTGAAGTTCGACGCCAGTTCGACGTGGGTTCGACTCAGGTTGACGGACATTCGACGCAGCATCGACGCATGAGTGGAGTGCGTGTCTCGAGGAAGGCCCCCAGATCGAGCATCTAACTCGGAGAGGGCAGCGGGATCTCGGGCAGGGGGTGCGCAGGTTCCCGCGGCCAGAACCCGACACACCGTGCCAGTTGATTACCGCGCACGCCACCGCGCAGTCCGCCGTCCACCGCGCGCGCAGCCCTCTGCGCAGCACGCCGCGCCGTGCACCCGCGCACCCCAACCCGCAGCACTGCGGCGGCAGCCGCAGGAGCCCAGAGCGTTGGGCCGGCTGCTCGGGCCAGTCCTGTTACGGTAGGTTCACGTCGTGTCGACCGGCGGCGACCCCGCCGCTGGCGTTCAACAGTGGACGCCGCCCGCGAGACAGAATTGGCCCATCGTTGAGCGATCGGACGTTTCGGAAAGGCCGATCGTTCAAGGTTGAAAGATCCGCGCGGTGTCAAGAACCAACGTCCAGGTCGACACGACACGAGCTCGCCGTATGCACCCTGGGGCGCAGGGCCAGTTCCCAGAGGAGGAAGAAGTACCGATACCGCTGCTCGTCCTGGAGAGTCCTCGTCTTCACGGCTGGATTCTCCTCGCAAGTCTAGTCAGGATGCTTCGTTGGAGAGGTCCAGGGATCAGCGGTATCAGTATTTGTTCGTGTCCCCATGCGCATCACAGCACTTTTACGAGCGCCTTAAATGCAAGCATTTTCTGAGGATGGTGCCGTAATCAAGCTGGCGGTGGGCGCAGGGGACGCTGCAGGCAAACGAGGCACAGTGTGTCGAGCCTCACCCTTGACAATTACTCAATATGAATACTACTCTCCCTCTTCCCCTGATGACGTCTTGGGTATATTCGCCCCCCCCCCCCCCCCCGCGTATTGTTTTTTTTAACACAGGTTTCCCCGGAGTTGGGTTCTCGCCTGCATTTTTTTTCCGAAATGCTGCTCTCGCTGAGGCGCCAGCCTCATTTTCGGGCCCCGCTCGTTCCGAATCGTGCTCCCGCTGCAGCGCTGGCATCATTTCCGCCGGCGCCCGGGCTGCACGCCCCGTTCCGAGGCGGCGCCGAAAAAATGCCATTCTAATACACATTTCTCTTTTGAAAATGCTGAATTTCTGCTTCCGGCGCCCGGAGGCCTCCCGGGCCGATTCCGACGCCCAGGCCGGCGCCCGAGCCAGCGCCCGGGCTGGACGCCCGAGCCGGCGCCCGGGCCGGCGCCCGGGCCGGGTCCGGAGCCGGTTCCGGCTGGCGCCGGAAAATCGAGTTCCGAGGCGGCGCCGAAAAAAGGCCATTCCAATACAATTTTTTCTGTTGAAAATGCTGAATTTCTGCCTTCCCCGGAGTTAGGTTTTCGCCTGCATTTTTCCCCAAAGTGCTGCAGTCGCTGAGGCGCCGGCCTCATTTTCGGGCCCCGCTCGTTCCGAATCGTGCTCTCGCTGCAGCGCTGGCCTCATTTCCGTGCTTCCGCTCCTTCCGAATCGTGCTCCCGCTGCAGCGCTGGCCTCATTTCCGCGCTTCCGCTCGTTTCGACTCGTGCTCCCGCTTCAGCGCTGGCGTCATTTCCCGTGCCATGCCACGGCATTGCAATGCTAGGTTGATACTACGCTTCGCGGTGCTCTTCTACGCCATGCCACGCCGTGCTCTACAATGCATCGCGTACCCTTTCGGGATCATCGCCTTGCTTGACATCCGACTATGCGAGTAGAGAGGGAATCTGCGCCATGGTAAGGGATGGGAGGGAGGGATAGGATGTCAGATATGACGCGAGCGCACCTAGCTTGCCCAGTACCCCTCCCCCGTTGCCCTCACCATCACAGCTTGGCGACCCCCTTCCCGTTCCATCCTCGCCAACTCAAATCTCCCCCTTCCCGTATTAACAGTGCCCCCCCGGGGGGGGAGAAGGAGGGGCAGAAGGAGGGGGAGGAGGAGGAGGAGGAGGAGGAGGAGGAGGAGGAGGAGGAGGAGGAGAAGCACGAGGAGGAGGAGGAGGAGGAGAAGCTGGGTTGCGATGGCAGGGGCAGAGGAAGGCAAGCCGTAGGATGCCAGTGGGCAGGGATGGAGAAACAGAAACTCCACAGGCGTCCGTGGGCCCGCGCCGCGAGCCCCAGCCTCCTCCGCTCTTCGCCTCCTCCCGCCGCTCCAGGTTCATGTGGGATCAGGCTCGCTTGGTCCCAGCGTCCATGTAGTGCTACATCACGCATTCCCTGAGATCTGTTTGACGTTGCGACAAACATGCAACATGGCGGAACATCACGACCAGAGCCCTAGACCCAATCTGTCTGCGCGATTTTCCGAGCCGGAGCGATCCATGAGGGCCCCGGCGGGGCTCGAACCCGGGCGAGAAAGCCCGCGTTAGAAAATTCGCAACGCCAGGCTCCCAGACCACCGACGTCATCATTTGTTCACAACGTCGACCCCCAGAGGGCTGGACCCCGTCCCCAGGACCGGTTTTTCATCCTGAGTCGTTTGTTGACGGTCCCGAGGCCCCCAAATAGCGAGAAATTTCCCGCCGTGTTTTTTTCCACAACGCGAGGGGGTCTGGGATCTCAGCGCACATCACGCATTCACCGCACCATTTTGGGGAACATGAGCAGCGCGGTGCCGCGGCCGCTGCTGCTGGCGGCGGCCGCTGCGGCGGCAGCCGCGCCGAGAGCAGCCGCGGCATCCCCGCCCGACCCGATCCGCGGGTGGGAAGCAGACCCGCGCGATGAGCAGCAGGGCAGCTCGAGGCCCAGAGATCCGACGCTCCACAAAATTAGCCTGGCGAATAAGCCAACCATATGCAGTTGTGAGTGCCGCAGTTGTGAACATCCTCTTCGGTGGCGCTCCCTATGGGGCCGCGAACCCTGTGAGGGGTGTGCCGAAATGGATGCGGGGGACGCATGCGGACGGTGGCACTGGGGCCGTCGGTGGAGCTCCCTATGGGGCCACGAAGCGTGGGAGGGTTGTGCCGAAATTGGTGTGGGGGGCGCATGTCAAATTGGGTGTGGAAGACGCATGTGGACGGTGGCACTGGGGCCTTCGGTGGAGCCCCCTTGTGAGGCCACGAAACGTGTGAGGGGTGTGCCGAAATGGGTGCGGGAGACGCATGTGGACGGTGGCACTGGGGCTTTCGTGTGAGCTCCCTATAGGGCCACGAAACGTGTGAGGGGTGTGCCGCCGACATGGGTGTGGGGGACGCATGCGGGCGCAGCCACTGGAGCCTTCGGTGGAGCTCCCTATGGGGCCACGCAACGTGTGATGGGTGTGCCGACATGGGTGTGGGGGACGAATGCGGGCGCAGCCGCTGGAGCCTTTGGTGGAGCTCTTATGGGGCCACGAACCCTGTGAGGGGTGTGCCGAAATTGGTGTGGGGATGCATGTGGGCGCAGCCACTGGAGCCTTCGGTGGAGCTCCCTCTGGGGCCGCGAAACGTGGGAGGGGTGTGCCGACATGGGTGTGGTGGGACGCATGCGGGCGCAGCCATTGGGGCCTTCGGTGGATCTCCCTATGGGGCCACGAAGCGTGTGTGGGGTGTGCCGAAATTTTAGTGGGGGACGCATGCGGGCGCAGCCACTGGGGTCTTCGTTGGAGCTCCCTATAGGGCCACGAAACATGTGAGGGGCGTGCCGACATGGGTGTGGTGGACGCATGCGGGCGCAGCCACTGGGGCTTTCGTGTGAGCCCCCTATGAGGCCACGCAACGTGTGATGGGTGTGCCGCAATGGATGTGGGGACGGGAGGCGGGAGGAGGAGGGGGAGGAGGAGGAAGGATCGCGGAGACCATCTCTTCAAAACGACGACTCAACACCACAGGACGGTTGGGAAAATTATAGCGGACGGTTTTTGGCCATTTTCGGTCTCCAGGGGCCCTCGCTGGGCGTCGGGACCGCGAACAAAACAATTCAGGACGAAAAACCCCTGGGGAAGTGGTCCAGACTTCAGGGCAGTTCGAGGCAGTGCATCAGAAGAAGAAAGGAACCCAGACATACTCGCGTCGTGAATAAATCACGACGGGAGGTTTCTCATCGTACTCGGCCTCCGGGGGCCCTCGCCGGGCCTCGGGATCGTCAAAAAGCCGACACCGCAGATCCCTCGTCGCAACCGGCTGGATTCGCTTCGAAGTGCTGGGCTGAACGCACCACACCCAGGGAGACCGGGCCCAGGGAGCAGCGGTATGGTTTCTTTTGATCCCCCCAGCACTGAGATAAGCAGGTGCGACGAGGCGCGGCGCGAGGCCGATGGCCGAGGCGGCGCGGCGCAGCGCTGGTGCAACGTCAAGGTCGCGGCAGTTCAGGGGCGAGGCTTACGCTCCCGGTGCACACCACCGCTTGCTGACCAGCGTCCGACAGTCTTGGACCACCTGGCGCCCGCGGAGTTACAAAGTTCAGGGGCGAGGCGGGGCGACGCTGCGCAGGGCACTAAACACCGGCTCCCGTCGGTTTGAATCCCCTCGCTTCTTGCCTGCATCTGCCTCTCTCGTAGCTCAATATCGTTCAGCCGCCCCCGATCGCACTACTAATCCCTATTCCGTTTCCATCATTGGTACTGCGGGGGTCGAACCAAATCACCACAAACTTGGCACCGTACGTGCAATGCCAGGGGCGGCGGCCCGTCTTCTCATCTTACCATCATAGGGGGATGCGAAGTCCCTGAAGACGGGACGGGGTGGGCACGAGTGGGCATCATAGCCGACTCAACGTCAAAAAAGGCATCATAGCCTCATCAATCTAGATTGATCCAGTCACGGACCCACTGCAATTTATTTCCATTGACGTCATTGCATGCGTAGCATGCTCTCCCCTGATGGACAGCGAACGGGACCCAGTCCCCTGCCAGTCGTCTAGTGCCGCCATCATCGGCAACCAGAGGGGCCATCAGAGGCACCTCGCACCCAATTCGGGGCCATCAGCAAGGCTCGTTTTGGGAAGGAGGACCATCATAAGCCTTCGCGCTCAATTTGTTCATTGAACTCAACTTTCTCGTCGTCGTCGTCCTCCTCCTCCTTCTCCTCCTCCTGGTCTCCACCCCATCGGAGCCGCGATACAGGCAGTGCGGGCAGCACCTCGGCCTCGATAGGGTCGTGCTCGTGAATGTCACGGTCTTCGTGTTCATGAGTGTGGTCACAGGGCATTTCACGGAGTCCGCAATCGTAGGTCGGGTCGTGCTCGTGTGTTTCACGGTGTTCGTGATCACGAGCGCGATCACAGTGCACGTCACGGAGTCCGCAATCATAGGTCGGGTCGGGCTCGTGTGTTTCACGGTCTTCACGAGCGCGATCACAGTGCATGTCACGGAGTCCGCAATCATAGGTCGAGTCGTGCTTGTGAATTTCACGGTGTTCCTTGTCATGAGCGTGGTCACGGTGCGTTTCACGGAGTCCGCAATCATAGGTCGGGTCGTGTTCGTGAACGTCACGGTCTTCTGATTCATGAAGGTGGCCACAGTGCATTTCACGACGGACGTTGTTGGTGGACGTCCGCCCTTGCCCTTTCCCCCCCCGGCGAGGACCATCATACGCTTTGCCAGTGAGGACCACCATGAGGCTTCACACTCCTCGCAGTTTCCATTTCATCATTGGTACTGCGGGGGTCGAACCAAATCCTCACAAACCTGGCACCGTGCGTGCAGCGCCAGGGGCGGCGGCCTGTCTTTCCATCTTACCATCATAGGGGATGCGAAGTCCCTGAAGACGGGACGGGGCGGGCACCAGCGGGCATCATAGCCGGCTCTTTTCTACAAAAAGAGGCACCTCATCAATCTAGATTGATCCAGTCACGGACCCACTGCAATTTATTTCCATTGACGTCATTCCATGCGTAGCATGCTCTCCCCTGATGGACAGCGAACGGGATCCAGTCCCCTGCCGGCCGTCTAGTGCCGCCATCATCGGCAATCAGAGGGGCCATCAGAGGCACCTCGCACCCAATTCGGGGCCATCAGCAAGGCTCGTTTTGGGAAGGAGGACCATCATAAGCCTTCGCGCTCAATTTGTTCATTGAACTCAAATTTCTCGTCGTCGTCGTCCTCCTCCTCCTCCTTCTCCTCCTCCTGGTCTCCACCCCATCGGAGCCGCGATACAGGCAGTGCGGGCAGCACCTCGGCCTCGATCGGGTCGTGCTCGTGAATGTCACGGTGTTCGTGATCATGGGTGTGTTCACGGTGCGCAGGGAGTCCGCAATCGTAGGTCGGGTCGTGCTCGTGTGTTTCACGGTCTTCGTGATCACGAGCGCGATCACAATGCATGTCACAGAGTCCGCAATCATAGGTCGAGTCGTGCTCGTGTGTTTCACGGTCTTCGTGATCACGAGCGCGATCACAGTGCATGTCACGGAGTCCGCAATCATAGGTCGAGTCGTGCTTGTGAATTTCACGGGGTTCGTGGTCATGAGCGTGGTCACGGTGCGTTTCACGGAGTCCGCAATCATAGGTCGGGTCGTGTTCGTGAACGTCACGGTCTTCTGATTCATGAAGGTGGTCACAGTGCATTTCACGACGGACGTTGTTGGTGGACGTCCGCCCTTGCCCTTTCCCCCGCCGGCGAGGACCATCATAGGCCTTACCAGTGCGGACCACCATGAGGCTTCACACCCTTCGCAGTTTCCATCATTGGTACTGCGGGGGTCGAACCAAATCCTCACAAACCTGGCACCGTACGTGCGGCGCCAGGGGCGGCGGCCCGTCTTCCCATCTTACCATCACAGGGGGATGCGAAGTCCCTGAAGACGGGACGGGTTGGGCACGAGCGGGCATCAGAGCCGGCTCGAAATCACAAGAGGCATCATAGCCTCATCAATCTAGATTGATCCATTCACCGTTCCACTGCAATTTATTTCCACTGAGTTCATTCCATGCGTAGCATGCTCTCTCCTCTCATCTCAGCACCTCTGTTAGGGATATACCTTCCGAATCGTTGCGGAAACGAGCTGTATCCCCATCCAGGGTGGTGAATCAGCTTGTGGAGTCCAGGCCACGCCCATGGGGACAGGGGTCGGTTAAACGATGCTCAGAAGCAGAGAGGCGACACTATGCGTTCACGTTGGCCCAGGCTTCCAGCTCGTTCGGCAGCGAATGCGCGCAGTGTCGCCCCCATAGGCTAAGCACACACACGCACAAACAAACAAACAAACAAACAAACAAACAAACACACAAACAAACAAACAAACACACACATACACACATTCGTGACGTTCCTTGTCGTGACGTTTCCTTGATTTGACATGGTATCTTAGGTATGCGTGCCGTTTTTTTTGCGTGGTCATCGTTGCCCTCCCGCATCCACGTTGGGCTGCTGCTGCCGTGTGACACATGGTGAGGCATTGCCAGCCCCCGCATCGGCCAAATCAGCTAGGTGTGCTTGGCATTGCCGCGTCCTCACGCACATGAATTTCGCATTCGCTTGTCGCAAGAATATGTGTTCGAGCGCGCGACATGGAATACGTTTTCTTGTTGTGCCACATTATGTTGTGATTATGGCCTACGGCTATGGCACCTTCGCGGCCACCAAGGAACATACGACATCCAGGCGGAACCAATACATGTACGGAACCACATTGTTACCAGTCTTGGACTGGTATCTTGCAGGTGGGAGCACGATTTAGATTCTAAAGCACCCGGCCTGTTTGACATCACGAGGCAACCCGAAAACAGCATGCATCCGCACGCCAGCCCAGACAAATGGT